ATGAGAGGGAAGAGGGTCAGAGGGAGAAGCAGACTCCCCACCGAGCAGGGAGCCTGATGTGGGGCTGGATCCCAGGACCCTGGGATCACGACCTGAGCCGAAGGCAGACGCTTAACGACTGAGCCACACAGGCGCCCCAAGAATCTTTGAGGACAGTTGGCACGTGTTATACTGGCTTCCGGCGTGTGAGCCCTGGCAAGTCTGCCCGTGGGGCTGCGTGCTCCCACAGGCGCAGCTGCTTGGGCACGTCACTGAGGCGGTACCCCCGCCTCTCCTCACGGGCTGCTGGGTACGACCTCTGGGGAAATCTTTGGAGTGCGAAGAACCGTCCCCTGAACCGTACATGCAGAAATAATTTCATGTATGGTTTCATGGGAGTGCAGTGACTCACTGGAAGACTTGTGTTGGTGAAGGGCCGTCATGACACACGTGGAAGAGCCTTAGCTGCCACCGTGCTGAACAAAAGCCGTGCGAAGTGGACTTCGGGGAGGGCAGGAGCACCTGCCGTAACAGGGCCTCCTTCCATCTCTGGAGCTGGCGACTCTGCTCCTTTTTGTCACTCGGTTCCATCCTCCGCCCTGTTTTTTTCCTGTCGTCATAAGCACACCGTTTATGTCCCGCTTTGTCTCCACATCAGAAGGACTCTGTGCTGTGGGCTCCACTTTGAAAAATCCAGAGGAACAGCTCAGATTGGCTTGGTTTGGTCACAGGCCCCGTCTTGGTGCTGCATGGTGTTATCGGGAGACTCTGTCGGCGTGGGGTCCTGTGATTGATTGGCAGCACCCACGGGAACAGTGCAGTTGGAGTAGGCAGTTACCCAGAAGCCACGGTAATATTTCCAGAAACGGGGAGGGAGCTTTGCTCAGACAGAAGCAGAGTGGACTACTCCCTACTGCAGCCCTTATGGTTTTAGACTGTATCTAAAACTCACTACGTTAATCTAGTGAAAGAAACCTATGAAAGTTGTCTTTGGGGGATCTTGTGTGTATTATAATGGAAATCAGGCATGATTGCTCATTTTGTGCCATAAACTTCTGTAGATTCACAAGACGTAAGAGATTGTCTTAGTTCATAGTGATTCCAGATGATGTTACATTCTTTTGATGGAATCGGGGAAATTTTGTTCCTGTTGTTTCTTTTTGACTTTTCAGTGGAGAGTGAACCAGAATATTCTTTTTAGCTGTGTTGTGGAAGACTCACACTTTTTAAAAAAAATCTAATTACATACAAGCAGAGCACATCTTTATTCTTTTCCCTATCTTCTAAGAACAGCTACATAAGATTTGTGTGTTGAAAAGAGTAATGCTTTAAGATATTTAAGAGAAGGTATAGTTTCGATGGAAATAGACTGAATAAATATTTGTGCAGGTCAGGCTAGGAGTAAGTCAGCATAAGTGAATGAAAGAGAGTAAGTCCTTGAATATACCTTTGGAGCTATTCATTATATGATCCGTGGCTCGTCAAGTGTTTGTTACTCTCCTTTTATGAGACATTGTGCTAAGATCATGAGAGATGAAGGAGCATAATCATTATGTCAGACATTAAAACACCCGTGAATGCTGCCTGGTCCATTGTTAGATGCACAATACATTTCAGATGAATGGAGTTGATATAAACTTAGATATGCCATAAAAGTGGCATAAATGCTGTTCCAAGGTTTTCTAAAAGGGAGATAGCATTCTTGTTTAGGATGGCTCAGAGACAGCTCCATGAAAGAGGTGGAAACTGAGCTGGGCCTTTGAAGGGTGTTTGACAGCAGTGCTGGTGAGGTGAGGAGGTGATAGGAGAGCACATGTCCTCCGAGGAGTCTTCTGGTCTCTGCATTGTAACTGCGGGAACCATGCCGGCTTGGCGGGAAGAAATCAAATACTGTGTGAAGAAAACTATGAATCCCCCTCCCCGTGATGACAGTTTCATGATCCAGAGGGATCACAGATTTTTTTCATGGATTTTTTTTTTTCGGGATTTATACATCTCTTGTTGTTTGTTTATTGACATTACCTTTCTCTACCAACCCACCCCAGGTTCCATGACACCAAGGCTCAGAGTCTCTGCAGAAGGGCAAGAACAGGGACAAATGTAGTTCTATCCATTTCATAGAAATCTCCGAGAATTTTGTCACGTTGCCCCATGTTGCAGAATCTGTTTGTTAATGCTTCTAGGATTTGAGCCCAGTTTAATGTTCTAGGAAGGTGTCCATTGAAGGAAGGCTCAGGGATAGAAGCATTTGTTAAATGGATATGACTCTTCCTCTTGTTGTCTTTAGGCCTAAGCTAAGATACAATATGGACGGGAACTAAGGCAGGTCCTATGGCTTTATCCGTGGTGGCAGCTCATGCCCTGATTTCCCGGATTTCCATCAGCGTGGCTGGAGGAGCTGAGGTGGTGGCTGTTGAGGAGGGAAGGCCAGGCAGGGCCTTGGGTGTCAGGAGTTTGGGAGCCCAAGGCTGTGCCACTCCTGGTTTCATCCCTAGAACCTGAATCAGAGTCAAGGAGTGTGATGGTGTGCGTGCGGCTTGTGTTAGTTAACGATACGGATTCCAGGCCTCACCTGTCACTGAGGCAGAATCTTCAGTGGGTATGGTCTAGGGATGTAATTCTTTTTTTTTTGAAAGATTTTATTTATTTATTAGAGAGAGAGAATGAGAGAGAGAGCACATGAGAAGAGGGAGGGTCAGAGGGAGAAGCAGTCTCCCTGCCGAGCAGGGAGCCCAATGCGGGACCTGATCCAGGGACTCCAGGATCATGACCTGAGCCGAAGGCAGCCGCTCAACCAACTGAGCCACTCAGGCGCCCTAGGGATGTAATTCTTATGCATCCTAAATATTGGAAACTGCTGGTCTGGGAGGCATGAGCGTGTGTGATCAGGGTGGACTGAGAAAGTGGAATAATGGGTAGTGGGGAGGGTGACAGTCCTCTTTAAAACTCTGTATTGTTGTTGTTTACATGTTAGGACAGATTAATAAAAGAGAACACAAAGCCAGTGAGTAGGGAAGGTGTGGACCTTCCGATCTACCAGCTTAACTTCCTGAGTGCCGACAGACAGGGAATGGTGCTAGACAGAGATCCCAGAGCCACACGCCAGCCGCATGCTAGTCTCTTTTGTAGCATCACGTGGTATTCTCGCATGTTCCTCCTACCATCTGATCTGCACAGTATTAAAAATGAGAATCTCATTTGCCAAAAATAATTGAGAGGCTTCACTGTAGGCGCACAGCAAACAGATCAGCTGGGTGGATGCCGACCTTGTTAATCGGTCAAGAGTAAGAGGACAGATACCACCACCAAGGAGTTCAAAGCTAAGAACTCAGAAGAAACCTTCCTGAATGACTTTCTAACGTGTGCGGCAAATGGGTGCTCCGAGAATAAGGGCCAGCCCACTTGTGTGGCGTGGGCAGAAGCTGCCCTGTTGCGGTTCTTGCACACGAACAGGTGGGGCTCCAAACCCGTGCATGCGCCCCATGTGTTGGAGTTTTTCCTGGAGTGTTCGTCCTTCGGCGTGTTTGTACAGAGCCTGCCCTGAAGACACTGACGTTGAAAGTACTGTAGAGATGGGGAGGACAGGATTCCATTCGTAAGGGTTTGAAGAATTTTTGTCGGAAACTTAAATGCACAAATGGATGAAAAAGACTGACATTTAAATAGCTACATTATAAATAATGTAAATTAATATATTATAAGCTGGGTATAAATGTGGAGTGAAAAACATCAGGTTAGATTGGGGCTAATCAGTACAGATTTCCCAGTGATTATGAATCAGAATTGTGTGTATATATTTTTATTTTTAATGAAGGATACTCATTTATTACAAAAAATGAAAATATTATGGAAGGGTACAGAGAGGAAAATATTCATCTTAATGCTTTGTAGTTATTTTCTGTATATTCAGTCAAGTACATATTCACCTCAATAATTTTTTTCCATGAAAGGAATCATACTGTACGTATTGTTCTGCATCTGCAACTTGCTTCTTTCACTTAACAATAGAATTCAGACAATTTTCCACTGTAACACATAGAGACTACCTCTCCCGTTTAATGGCTACATAATAGTAAGGAATTTAGTTATTTCCATGTGGCAGAATTTTTTTTTTTTTTTAAGATTTTTATTTATTTGAGAGAGTGAGAGAGCGAGCACAGGCAGAGGGAGAGGCAGAGGGAGAAGCAGACTCCCCGCCAAGCGAGGCGCCTGATGCGTGGCTCGATCCCAGGACGCTGGGATCATGACCCGAGTCGAAGGCAGACACCTAACTGGCTGAGACACCCAGATGTCCCTGTTTTTTGTTCTAATTCAGCTCCTTGGTTGTACTAGCCCCATTCCAAGTTCTCAGGTGCCACCTGTTGCCGGGAGCTGCCATGACCATGCCAGGCACACACAGGACATTTCCATCAGCACGGCATGTTCTCCAGACAGCACTTACCTAAAGTGGTGCTGAAACTTGATAATATAAATCACCTGGTAATGTAACAGCCCTGTCGTTCAGTGACTCCGTCACAGTCTTTCTCTAGGAATCATAGCACTGACATGAGAGAAACACCCGTTTCTTCTGTGCCCGGACATAACAAATGTTTATTCTTTTTGTATATTTCTAGTTATTTCTGAGTCTTGTTGTAGGGCTGTAACTTCTCCTACTGAGGATTATTATGTGTGTTTCTGTTGTGTTGTACTTGGTCCCGCACGTTCCCGTTTTACACGTATGTACCGTTCTGTCCTGAGGCGTCAGAGGTAGACTCACTCCCTAGTCGCTGGGAATTAGGGTCATCTTCTTTCACCATTAGTGCCTTTGTGTACCTAGTTTTACAAGAGTGTTACTTTCATGAGGTGCACTAGTGGGATTACTGAGATAAATTATGTGTTCAGTTTTCTGGCTTTTGCTGCATTTTGGCAGATTTAAGTCTTTTTTGAAGGGAGGAAAGAACTTGGCTTACTGGAGAGACTAGGTGGGATGTGTCAGCTATGGGAAATGAGCTGTGCAGCACACTCGGGAGAAAAAGAAGGTATTTAAAAACTTTATTGGAACAGATTCTTAGGGTGCTGAAAATTTTCATTTTCATCAGTGATAGGAGTTCAGAGTGGGGAATAAGTGTCTGAAGTATTTTTTTCCTAGATGAGGCCGATGACGATGACGATCCAGAATATAACTTCCTGGAAGACCTTGATGAACCCGACACAGAGGATTTCCGCACTGACCGGGCCGTGAGGATCACCAGTGAGTCTGTTTACTAGGAGTCCGGCTCTTCACTGTTCTGCAGCTGCCTTTGTTTACTTTGTAGATTTTGGAGGGTGGAGTTTGCAGCCCATTCAAGTTGAGACATTTAAGCTTGTACCCATTTATTTCTGTAACTCTTTAAATTTACGTATGTATTTAGGAAGCCTGTGAGTCATTCACTTACACATCCCACAGTTCTGCCCTGAGTCCAGTATCTGGTGGAGGTCGTACCTACGATACCAAAATAAATAAGGCATGGCCTGCACCCCGTAGCACCTCAGCTCAAGTAGGGGATACAAACATGCCAAGTTACAATACAAAGTGATAGGTGCTATAATGGCTTGTATGTAAGGTTCCCAGTGGCCTAAAAGAGGGTGTAGTCTCCTAGTGGATGGTGCACAGTAGTAGGTGGGCTGGGGAAGGACTCACATGATGAGATGTTTTATCTCAGTTTTGAAGGAGGAATAAGAAATTTTGGGTGAGGGGCACCTGGCTGGCTCAGTGGTAGACTGTGCGACTCTTGATCTTGGGGTTGCGAGTTCGAGCCCCACGTTGGGTGTAGAGATTACTTAAAAATAACATCTTTGAAAAAGAAAGAAATTCTGGGTAAATGGAGACGGGTAGATATTGCAAATAGGTAGAAGAGTACCCACCGAGCACGGACGTGTGGAAGAACAGTACTACGCTTGGAAAATGGTGAGTTGCTTGGTTATGGAGTTGTGAGTATGCGGTGGTAGAAAAGGTAAGCAGTGTTCAGATCCTGAAGAACCGTGAATTTGGGTTTTGATCTGTCAAAAGGAGAGCTTAGAGATTTTGACAGGAAATCAGTAGGAACTGATGTGGATTTTAGAAATACTACTTTGATTTAACACCAAGTTAATGTATTAATTTGATGGGTAAAGAGAGCAAGATTGGAGGCATGGAAAACAGTTCAGTGACTTGACTTGGCTCGAGTTGTTTAAAGAATTACTTCATTGGCTATGTTGCCAAAGATAGAAACATATATTTCAGAAAGTATTGATTTTTTATTTTTTAAAGATTTTATTTATCTATCTGAGACAGAGAGCACGTGCATGAGCAGGGGAGAGGGGCAGAGGGAGAGGGACAAGCAGAGCAGGGAACCTGATGCAGGACTCGATCCCAGGACCCTGAGATCACGACCTGAGCTGAAGGTAGATGCTTGACATACTGAGCCACCCAGGTGCCCCAGAAAGTATTGATTCTTATTGAGTGTGTGTGTGACCCTGACCTGGACTAGCATACACAACATGGTGAAGGTGGGATGTTGGCTCTTGACCGGGTTATGGAGAAAGGTTTATGAGCATCCAGACACACTTATTATTACCTGCCTAAATAATGCAGCTATCTGTGCAGAGAGAATTATGGAAACATGATCCTTTAGGACTTTCGTTCCAGTTGCTTTATTTCCTCTTTGATCTTGTTTTTGGGATTAGAATGCCATTTCCTTTGTGAAGATCTTCCCTTATTTGCTATGTTAGGACAATTAAGGTTAGAGTAAGTGTTGAAAGGAATCAAAGTGTAGGATGAAAAGGCTTGAGGTGTGGACTGTGGAGGGTCTAGGAAAGTATGAGAAAAACCAAGGAAGTCTAGTCAGAAACCAAGGGAAGATTCTTTGAAGGAGCATCTGGTCCACCGATGCTGGTAATCAAGGGTCTCTGCTGGAAGCGGGAGGTAGATTTCGTTTGGGCTTGGCTCCTGGCCTGGAGTACGGAGTGCACTTGCCTTCCTTGTCTGTCTGTCTCTTTCTCCATGTTACAGGTCGTTTCTCAGGAAGACCCTCCCCAGTTAGCATGGTTCTTGCTTTGCACTCCACACCAGTTGATGTGCTCCTTCTAGTGCTTGCCTCTCTCCTGGTTGCTTGGGCCCTGTCCGTCTTCTCCCCTGGCCTGTGAGTTTCTTGGGGAGTTGATGCTGTTTGTGGTCCTAGGCCTGGATTTGGCCAAATAGTGACCTTTTCTGGGGTGCCTGAATGAAGGGCCATCCTTTCTTGTCATAGGGTTCTGTGATCATACGTAAAAACTGGGATGGAATTCCAGTTTTGTTCCTACCCCTTGTCCTCTTGTGTCTGATGTTATCATATTATCCCTATGGGAGGACTTTTCCTTACGTGGATGACAAAAATTTAAAAATAAAAATAAGCATAGAAACTCAGAGTTTGGAAGGCTTCCTGTGGCCATGTATTTTCCTCCCACTTGAGTTTGTCTGTAGCTTCTCTGTGTCGGGTGACCCCCAGTGCTCATCAGTCCTGAAGACGGCATGTCCCCATCTTGAGCACCTCCTCAGCCAACATTTTCCTTACTGAACCTCCGTATACCTGTTACATTCCTATTTGTCCTTTGTTGCTAGAAAATGTAATTTACTCCCAAGCTTGCATAGTAGAAGATGTTCCTTTTCCTACGTTTTTTCTTTGCCGTGCCAAATATACTAAGTTTCTTCAGTTCTCCAAATGCAGTAGTCCCCAGACCTCGCATTATCCCAGCCACCGTTCTCTGGATTCTGGCCTTTATTTTTTTACTTAAATTTTTTTAAGTAGGCTCCGTGCCCAGCGTGGAACCCCGTGTAGGGCTTGAATTCACGACCCTGAGATCAAGACTTGAGCTGATATCAAGAGTCGGTCACCTAACCTACTGAGCCACCCAGGAGCCCCTGGCCTTTATTTTTTTTATAATAAGCTTTTCTCTCTTTATATTTTTTAATGGAACTTCTAAAATTCATAGAAAAGTTGAAAGCATTGTACACTGAACACCCACATACCCACCACCTAGTTTCTGTAAGTAACTTTTAATATATTTGTTTTGTCATGCAGCTGTTCATCCATCTCTCTGTCCATCTGTGAATCTGTGTGGGTTTTTCTCATGCATTTCAGAGTAGGTTGTAGATAGCAGCATACTTCACTCCTGAACATTTTAGCCTAAGCATATCATTCATTCGGGCTCAGTATTTATCTACAGTTTCTCTTTTTAGGTAAATTTATGCACAGTGTATTGCACACTTTTTTTTAAAGATTTTATTTATTTATTTATTTGAGAGAGTGAGAATGAGAGAGAGAGAGAGAGCACATGAGAGTGGGGAGGGTCAGAGGGAGAAGCAGACTCCCTGATGAGCAGGGAGCCTGACGCAGGGCTTGATCCCGGGACTCTAGGATCATGACTTGAGCCGAAGGCGGTCGCTTAACCAACTGAGCCACCCAGGCGCCCCTATTGCACACATTTTTAGTGTACCATTCAGTGAATTCTGATGTGCTTCCACCTGTGTAACCAAACTCGTATGGGAATATGGAATTGTCACCCCAGAAAGCTCCCTCAGGCCCCTTCTGAATCATTCCCCTCACCATCCTCCCTGAGGCAACCGCTGTTCTGGTCTTTTTTTTTTTCTGTAACAGATTAGATTTGCCTGTGTTAGAACTTCATGTAAATGGAATCATAAAGTGTGTGCTCTCTTGTATAAAGCTTCTTTCAGCATGAAGTTTTTGAGATTCATCTGTATTGACACGTATCACTACTTTTCCCTCTTTTATTGCTGAGTGGGATTCCATTGTATAAACATACCAGTTTATCTTTTTTAAATCTATTCCCAGGTCTTGATGGAAACCTGGGTTTTTCTAATTTTTGCCTATCTTGAATGAAGCTGCTCTGAACTTCCTTGTGCAAACCTTTCCTGGACAAATGTTTCATTTCTCTTGGGTCAGTTGTCCAGGAGAGGAATCACTGGTCAGAGGGGAGATGTATGCTTAGTTTTACAAGAAATTGCCAGATTTTTTCCAAAGTGGACTTCTATTTTACCTTCTCATCAGAATTTCATTTGCTCCACATCTTCACCAGCATTTCGATTTTTAGCTTTTTAATGCCCTTGTAGGAAGGGCTTTTGCAGAAAAGATCACAGATACGTCTGGATCCTCTGGACGTGGTCTGAGACTCTACGCTGGTTCTGTGACAGGCTTGCTTTCATGGATACTTGTGCTGTTTTGGAGTAGCTGTGTCAGATTGAACTTGAGGTCAGCCAAAACATTCAGATCTTTTTCAGACTTTTTGGGCCATTTCATGTTTTTGTGCACTTGAGAAACTGATTTTTAAAATTCCTAAATGTAAGACTTTAAACTTGTCCCATTAAGTTTCATTCAATTAATTTGAGAAAACATGGAATTTTGAATCTGTCATCAGTTGGTCTAGCAATCCCTTTCAACTTTATATGATTTACAGATTTGGTAAGTATGTTTTCTGGGTCTTCTAGGTCATTGATGGAGTTGCTTTGTAGTTCGGGTACAAAGACAGGGCCCTGGAGACTTCTCTCGTGACTCCGTTCAGTAGGCTAGGCCGGTAAACTATGAATTATCTTTATTGTGAAATCATCTGGCTCACATTTCCTGCATGTCTCCCCATTGGAACTTTACCTTCTAGAGAGTGAGACTGTTAGTTTTTTCTTTCTGTTTTTTTTTGTTTTGTTTTGTTTTAGAAAAGGGGGTTGCTGGTGAAGAGGGCAGAGGGAGAGGAGAGAGAGAATCTTAAGCAGACTCCATGCCTGGCACAAAGCCCAATGTGGGGCTCGATCTCACGACCCTGAGATCATGACCCAAGCCGAAATCAAGAGTCAGATACTTAACCGACTGAGCCACCCAGGTGCCCTGTGATGAGACTGTGAGCTCTGCCATGTGCCCCCCAGCATCTAGAACAGGGCTTGAGGCATAGTTGGGAGTCAGTAAATGTGTTTGAATGAACAGATGACAGGTAGATGTGAGGGTTTTGTCAGATGTCTTGCTGGAAACAAGACGCGGTGTCTCTGTGCAATTCCCGCCTGTGGGAACTGAGACCGACCTGGACCAACAATGCCGTTTGGCTTCTTTTCAGAGAAGGAGGTGAATGAGCTGATGGAGGAACTGTTTGAAACTGTGAGTAACGACGCGAAGTCGGGGCTCGGGACACTGGGCGGCTCCTCCAGCGTGCTCTGTCCTCTGCTCCCAAGCCCATCCCTCCACAAGGCTGGTGTGGCCAAGCCACTTCACCTTTCAGCCCCCTTGGGAGTGGGTGTCGTGGGAGGGGAATTTGGCTCACTGATACATTTCGATTGTCCATATGTAGGTTATTCTTAGCAAAATGTTCCTTGTAAACTTTGGATGGCCTCCCCGACCATCATTCCGTGCATCCGTAAAGATTGCAAATTAGTTTTTGGATTATTCTGGGCGCAGATAGTTCCCTTTCTCATCAACTTGTCTCTTGAAAGATATTTCTGATCGTTCTGAGCTGTCTGTGCTCTGTCTGTACCATTGCAAGTGGCTGATTGAGAGACTTCGCTCCTGGCATAATAGCCGTGTGCAGGACTGCGGGTGCCCTGAAGTGAGGAAGGTCTTGAGGGAGCTCTTTCTGGGTGCCAGCATTGTTGGCGCCCTGTAGACTGTGGTCTTCGCTTTCCCTTCTCACTGCTGGGGGGCTTCCACACACCCCTTCCCCAGGATCACCCTCCTTCCCCTGTGCCCTCAGTTCCAAGACGAGATGGGACTCTCCAACGTGGAAGATGATGGCCCAGAGGAGGAGGATCGCGTGGCTGAGCCCCGGCCTAGCTTCAACACCCCTCAAGCCCTGCGGTAGGCTAGCCAAGGACGCCGAGGCACCAAATGGAGGGAACGTGTGTGTCCAGACACTCCCGTTGACAGTTCCCTGTCGCCCAGTGCCCGCGGTCGCTGGTGGAGGGTCTCCGGGGATGAGTCTCCTCGTCGTGGGGCAGTGCAGCAGCAGACCAGGCTGCGTCTGTTTGGGAAGGGAGAGAAAGCAGTAGCTGGTGTCCGTAGCAGCTTCTCCAGATGAGTGGTGCTGGAGAGGTGTGAGGACTCTGGGGCCAGCCACAGAGACCACCCCTTTCATAAGAGCCTGTGTGTCCCTTTGTTCTCCTTTTTGGCCATTAGCATCGGGTAAATGTTAGCCAAAGTTTGTCAGTCACCTTGGTGATGACTGAGCGGCCGTGAAGCATCTTTGGTCTGAGGTAGAAGTACCGCCCTCTTCACACGAAGCTGGCACTTCTGTTCTCCACCCACAGAGTGGAGGCTTTAAGTTTTGTGGGATGGGTTTGTGTAATTCGTGTATACTTTAATGAACTGTTACCCATTCTGAGCAGCAGCATACGTGCGTGGTGAGGTGACCGGCTAGCTAGCAGTCGGGGGGTGGAGCAGAGCAAAGCTGAGAGACCTGCAGCCTCCGTTAGTCCTGTGTTTTCGCAGCCTGACCTAACTGGAGAGCTTGGGAGCCACCTGAAAGCCAGGCCTTCAGGGAACGTGCAATTTAGTAGAAAAGACAAGATACCCCACCATTGCATAACAGCCGGGAATATAGTTCATGGTCCATTATAATAAACACCATAATGTAACCGCAACAGAATTTCGGGATCCCCCACCCCCATTTTATTTTGTTTTGGCTTTATTGAAGTATAATTGACAAGTTGTAAGACATCGAAAGTGATTTGATGCAGGTAAGCATTGTGAACGGGTCCCCACATCGAGTTAGTTAATAACACTGTGGCCTTACATACTTACTTTTTGGGGGGAAACATTTTCAGGATTTCTGAGTCTTTATTTGACCCACTTACTGCAAGCCATAGTTCATAGTTCATCTGATCTATAAACGTATTTCGGTTCCACTAATAATCTCTGTGTATGAATTCTTTACATTTGGGGTTTATAGAACTACTTTAAAGTCCTGGTTGAAGATGAGCTGTCTCTGGCGCTCGCTCAGTTCATCTGCACGGGCTGCAGCTGCTTCCCATTCAGCTAAAATTGCAAACCTGGTTTAGTCTTTGACTAAATAAGATATGGGGAAAGTGAGCCATCTGTGTCCCTCTTACCAACCAACTAAGTAATATTTCATAAAACCAGGGGCAGGCTATTTGTGCTTTTTTGTCTACTTTTTCCGTGTGTTTTTCTGTTGTCCTGCTAGGAGCACAGATAATGGAGAGTTTTCTGTTCTCAGTAAACATTGTACAGAGGACTGTCCTTGTCTTTAGGTTTTTACCCTGTGCCTGCCTGCCCACACTCACAGTAAATACTGCAAAAGGACACATAGTCTTTATCTGTAGAGGCTGTAGAAAAGTTACCATTTAACCGTCGTTACAGTATAGAGGATTTCATGAAATAGGATATCCTGCTGGCCATACCTGCTTGAGCTGGTCTCATCGTGATTGCATAGGGTATCAGCTCACCCTTAATCCCTTGAGTGTCCCGCTCTGCCCCAGGACTAGGCTGTGAGCTGGCTATGTGGATGCTTGCTTTGGCACCAGCCAGTCTCTCTCTAGAGGCAGGGGTGGGCGGGCGGGTTAGACAGCTGAGAGGAGGGATGTGGGGGAGCTGCCAGAGGATGTATGCACGGTGGGAGCCAGCCTCGCACTGGCCTTCCCAGCTGTCCTGTGTTTCAGTGTATCCGCTTCTTGCTTCCTACTAGGTCTTTGACCTCTTAAGAAAGGAAGACAGGGCAGCCTAAGTGGATGGGAGTGGCAGGAGGGCAGAAGCTGGACCTGGGGTGGGGTCATGAGTGGATTAGGGAACAAATGCTGGACTTGGAGAAGATTCTGTATCACCTTTGGGTTCCAGGGTAATGTGTCAGTAGGACCCAAGGATGATGAGTTCTTCCCGTTGGCTCTTTGACTACTTTGTTATCCAGGCATTTCTCTGCTCCTAGAGTTTTGTTTAGTTTCTCCTTCATTTGTGTATTACTTATAAGACTGGTTGTAGAAGAACGGGGGGGACAGTGCAATTCAGAACTATCTCATTTGGATTTATGCGAACAACTTTGGGGAAAGATTGGGATAGGCTAGGAGTTTGTTGGCTAGAGTGGGATGTGGGGATTAGCAGAAGATGGAAGTGTTCAGACTCTTAGCCCACCGTCAGGAGGTGTCAGATGTGTTGCTAGCCTGGGGAAATGTCCAAATTCAGTTGTCTCCCTACCGGGGACAGGTTTGAGGAACCACTGGCCAACTTGCTGAATGAGCAGCACCGCACAGTGAAGGAGCAGCTTGAGCACCTAAAGATGAAGAAATCCTCAGGCAGACAGCAGCAGGAGGTGGAGAGGGTGAAGCCCCAGACCGAGAAGGTTCCTCAGACGCTCACTCTAGACCCAGCACAGAGGAGCCGCCTCCAGCAGCAGATGCAGCAGGTGAGCCTCGTCCTGGGCTGGATTCGGAGGCCAAGAGCTAGCAGTGGTCTGGAAATCAGAAACTGGTATCTTGATGCCCACTGAAAGCACAGGGCCACAAGATCTTCACATCACTGAGGGCGTTGAAAGGGCATCATGTTGGTATCCTTACGGGCAGGCAAGAATGCAGATGCCCGTAATGACCCTCATACTCCAAGGTTACACATTTCAGTCTTCCGTGAACCATTCTGAATTTAACAGCCTCACTTGCTGAAGTTCTAATTTCAGTCCCTCTGGTTTGAGGTTAAACTTCCTCTGGTTCTGTCATTTTGCTCAAGGGGAACAGATCTGAGAAATTCACACCAAGATATGGTGCCAATCTCGTAGTCTCTTTGGAAAGCAAAACGTGTGGTAACGTTGCAGACATCTTGCTAAGGTCTTCTGGGTTCCGGAAATGACAACACCGTAACGTGTCACCGTGTTATTTTCTTTCCCTTCCCAGCATGTTCAGCTCTTGACGCAAATTCACCTTCTCGCCTCCTCCAACCCCAACCTCAATTCGGAGGCCAGTACCACCAGGATATTTCTTGTAAGGTTCCAAGTATCCTTCACTCTAAAGATGTTGGTATCCGTTCGCTTGGGGGGTCACTTCTCCTAGATGGTCACCCAACACCAGCTGCATTTACTCTCTGTCCTGGGTGTCCTGGCTCCCATCCCTACGGCTTCCTCCCTGTGCTGAGAGAGCATCAGCCTCTGACCCCATGCAGGACCAGAGTGCAGCCAGTTTCCTTAAGACATTCCTCTGACTTTTCTGTTGGGTCCTCTTCCTCATCTTTTTTTTTTTTTTTTATTAAGGATTTTATTTATTTATTTATTTATTTACTTATTTATTTATTTGTGTGTGAGAGAGAGAGAGCACAAGCAGGGAGAGCGGCAGGCAGAGGGAGAAGCAGACTCCCCGCTGAGCAGGGAGCCTGATGCGGGGCTTGATCCCAGGACCCCAAGATCATGACCTGAGCCGAAGGCAGATGCTTCACTGACTGAGCCCCCCAGGAGCTCCTCCTCTTCCTCATCTTTAGACCCACCCTGACTTCTTGGGTTTTTGGTACTTCTGTTCTTTTTATTGACTTCATTATCCATTCATTAGGCTCAACATTAGTATTTTATGTATACAATTAATCTCGGTCATGACATTTTTAAGTATTTTGGAGGAAGGGCTTTTAATTTTGAAATTTTCTAGGTGTTATTAAGAGAAACCAAAAGACAAAAAATTTTAATTGTTCTTACTTTTGAGAACCTTTATTCTGACTGGGGAGCTAGACCATCCATCCAAAAGGCTGAGGAATAAAACAAGAACAGATGAGTGTATCATAAACACAATCTTTGAGTATCTGAGGACTCAGCAAAAGAGTAGTCTTAATGGAGTCATGTTAATTATGGAGGACTTTATGATGATTTTTATCTGTTTCAGTCCTCTAGCAGGAAGGACAGATTTTCCCTCGGAGGCTAGTGAGGGCTACTGGTATTAAGTTTCTGGGGCTGAGGTCTCCTTTGTGCCCTGTCTCCCCAGAAAGAGCTGGGCACCTTCGCTCAGAGCTCTGTTGCGCTCCACCAGTCCATTCCCGGCTTTCAGACCTTGTTCCAGCCCTGCAACCTGCTGGGGGCAATGCAGCTCGTTGAAGACTTCAACACGCACGTCAGCATCGACTGGAGTCCTCGCAAAACTGTCAAGAAGACTGGTAGGGGACCCATGTCCACTTCTGCTTTTTGCTTGCCTTGAGTTCTCTTGAACCTCCCTTCCCAGGAGACAGGACAGGGGACATCTATAATGTCATCCTTGGTACCCACTATCTACGTTCCAGGAGGTCATGATAGTGTTTGGGCTTCTGTGAGGGCTGGGCGATGGACAGGACGGAGCGGGGGGCAGGGCTGGGTTGTGGTCCTCGGCAGATGTGAGGGCGGGAAGCAGCGGGAGCAAGGTCATTGGGGTCTGGGGAAGGTGAAAGGCCAGTGGTTGAAGTTGGTTCGTGGTCAGGTTTTTATTCTCTGCTTCGTTAAGATACTTTTATTTCCCTTCATGATTGCAGTGGTATCTCCATTTTGAATGAAATGTTGATTTGGGAGTTAGGTACAAATTAGAGATGTACACTTGCCATGTTCAGTATTTTAAAGGCTTGTGCAGGTTTGCTTTCTGCCATGCATTTTTTAGTAATTTTTGAGAACACATTTGCTATTCCCTTAAACTGAGTAATTGCTCCTGATTAGTTTCATGGTTTAGCAGATGAGTTGTGGTTTGAAATCCCTCTTAGCATTAGATTGAATTATAGTTGAATTCAGGTGCATTATGTTATCGACACTGATCTCAAATGACTTTCTTAGCTCTCTGATGGTAATGAAAACCTAACATCATGGCCTGGTCGTAGATTACACATACAGTGTCCCGTGTTTTTCTTCTGGGGATACAAAAATACCATTTTTGGAAGGGGAACTATGGATATAGTGGTGCTTTCCATGTCTAGAAAGGCAGACGTGCCTGGAACGAGAGGCTTAGGCAGCAAGGCAGAAATGAGTGAGACTGAATTGCCTTGTTCCCAACCCCAGGAGGAATCTGGGAGGACTTGCTGGAAGTTAAGTAAGAATCAAATCAGATAAAATCTGGAATACCAGATTGGTGAGGGAGATGAAAGGAGTTGGCATCTTATCCTGGAAGAAAGGTCCCTCCCTTGCAAGGCCTTCGGGGGTGGGGGGAGGCGACGGCAGCATTTGGGTGTGCGCTGTGTGCCCCGGGTGGCTCGCCCCGTTACAAGTGTCTGTGCCGCGGAGGGGACAGTGAGCGTGTCTGCGTTTAGTAGCACCGAGGATGCTGGGAACTTCTGCGGGAGGGGAGGTGGGGACACCCCCAGGTAGGGGCAGCTCTAGCTAAATGCAGGCTTGCATTCAGAAGCTTTTGTCCTGGGATTTCATTTACCACAGAATTGTTTCCTCACAGCGGACGAATTTCCCTGTTTGCCAAAACAAGTGGCTTGGATCCTGGCCACAAGCAAGGTTTTCATGTACCCGGAGCTACTTCCAGTGTGTTCTCTGAAGGCGAAGAACCCCCAGGATAAGATTTTCTTCACCAAGGCCGAGGACAAGTAAGGGTTTGCCGCGGGGCAGCAGAGGCCCCGAGGGCGCCGGGGAGAAGGCCTGGTTCTTCTCTTGAGGAGCTGGGGGCAGGCAGGCGCGCGGTCGCCGGCTCGGACGCGGAGGGCCGGAAGCCGAGCCGGGTGCTGGGCGCAGCTCTGCGCGGGTTTGCTCGAGCCCGGACACTGCTCCTCTTGGGGAACAATGTGCACTCTTTGGAAACATTTTAACTTGTTTTCTCTTTTTTATTTATTGTAAAAACCAATCTCATAGTACTTTTAGAGACAGTTTTTCAAAGGAAAAAAATTTTTATCCATCATCCTAACCACCCCATGACAATGATTTTTTTTTTTTTTTTAAGTAACCTCTGCGCCCAACATGGGGCTCGAACTCACGGCCCCAAGATCGAGAATCAGATGGTCTACTGACTGAGCCAGCGAGGCGTCCCCAATGATTTTTCATATAATTATTGGCAATTTAAGTATAATTTTGTTTTGCCTTTTTTGACCTAACATCTTGAAGTTGTTTTTCTGTGCTCTGTGCTGGAGCACATGCCTTCCTGTAGGTTCTGTGTGCTGTCTACGCAGGTGATCTTCCATGGGCCCTGGGACAGCCCTTTTACGGGCCACTGTCTCATTTTTTCTCCTCTCCTGTTTTGCTGTTAGTGGGGCTTCGGCAAGGATCTTTGCATATAGAGCTTTTGGAAGTCTTTTGAGTTTATCCCTTTGGGTAAATTCTCAAGCGTGAGATTATTTGGTAAAGTAAAGAACATTTTTGTGGCTCTTGATGGTATTGGCCCACTGCCATCAGTGAATTGCGGTAGATAGGTAACCGCAATCATCTGGCTTATGTCGGGAGGCAGTATTGGTCCTGATTTAATACGTCTCACACCGTGCCCATTATTCATTTCATATTTAGCCCCATTCTCCTTCCTTTGAATTTCGTTTGTACTATTAGTGTGAAGCACGTCACGATCTGACATTTTTTAGTGATTCATGCCCATTTTTCTTCTTCCCACTTGACTGGGAACCCCGGGTTGCGTCTCCGTCATTGTACCTACTTGCCATGAGTAAACACCTGCAGATCTCTGCGGGGCAGCCATTGGCTTGCACAAGAATGAGGTGGGGTGTACCCTGTGGGCTGCTCTGGGGAGAGGGCGTTCTGCAGAACAGAGTAAGGCGAGATTTAGGTCATGGCTCCTTTCTCAGTTTGTTGGCTTTAGGGCTAAAGCACTTTGAAGGGACCAAGTTTCCTAAGCTGCTGATCAGCAAGTACCTCCTCACCTGCAAGACCGCCCACCAACTGACAGTGAGGATCAAGAATCTCAACATGAACAGAGCGCCTGATAACATCATCAAAGTAAGTGCTTCCTGTGAACTCCCCGGGGTCTCGCTCGGGCTCAGCCTCACAGCAGAGGGCCCTGGTTCCTACCACCAGAGCTGGGTCAGTCCCCCTCTGGCTTTTCCAGGGACATTGACTCTTGTTCTTCTCTGGAGTATCATCTTCTTCCTCTGTTACGGGTATTTCTCCTAAAAATAAAATTACTCCAACTTTTTTTTTTTTTTTAAGATTATTTATTTGAGAGAGGGAGAGAGCATGAGCTGGGTGGGGCGGGGCGAGGGAAAAGCAGACTCCCCGCTGAGCAGGGAGACCGACTCAGGGTTCGATCCCGGGACTCCGGGATCATGGCCTGAGCGGAAGGCAGATGATCAACCGACTAAACCACCCAGGCGCCCCCAAATTGTTCCAACTCTTAAAAAATTTCTCAACTTCACATTTCCCTCGAGCCGCTTTCTGTCTCTTTCCCGCTAGCCTTCTTGAAGGGTAGACAACACTCCACTGTATCCTTCTCCTTTCCTTTTCCGTGTGGGTATAACCTTGTGTATACATATTGTGTATAGAGGTTTTTGAGGGTGGTGTGTCTACGTCTCTATCTGGGTGGCTTGCTTGTCGTTGCCACCACTCGATGCTTTGGGTTGAAGCCTTATTTAGTAAAGTGCAACATGGGTGACAAAGACTTGGGCCTCCCACAGCCCTGCCATCATCACAGGCGTCTCTGTCCCCCGGTTCTCCCACTAGACCACGGTGTTGGTTAGATTCAGGGCTCACATTGTAAGCGTATAATTGCTTGGTACGTGTCCCTGCCAGCTGAGCTGTGGTGTAGCGTGATTGCTTTGCTTTCCTGCCGACATGTTTTTGTGGAGTTGGTAATTGCATTTGGCGGAGCCGGTGGGGCTTGGTCTCGGAGGTGTGTGTTACCTGTTCAACACTGGAGTTTACTTCAGTGCTAGGAATCTCTGGTCGTTTTCAGCTTCCTGAGGAAGCCTCTCCCCAACTCCGCTTATGTGTTCCCTCTAAACGTGTTGCTCTCTCCGCTCGCTACACGAACGGCTTCTTGGGATTTTCCTTCCCCCATCATCATGGGTTGGTTTTGCTTCTTTCCTCTGTGCATCCTCCTGGTCCCCGAACCCACATTTTTCTTGATTTTACTTCCTTCTTTTAGTGGAGCACATCCTCATGGCATTCTGGGGAAGAGTGCTTGAGAAACAGGTGAGAAACTGGCCGTATTCCCGGTGTTCACGCTGCGTGGACGGGACTGGAGGCCGCATCCTGGTTTGTGTGTGTGACCAATGTCACCGTGCGACATAAGGTCTTACCTTTGGGAGAAACTGGGGGAAGGCTACATAAGACCTTTCTGTCTTATTTTTGCAACTGCTTATGAATCTAATTATTTAAAATGAAAAGTTTTTTTTTTTAAGATTTTATTTATTTATTTGACAGAGAGAGAGAGAGATAGCGAGAGCAGCAACACAAGCAGGGGGAGTGGGAGAGGGAGAAGCAGGATTCCCTCGGAGCAGGGAGCCCGATGTGGGGCTCAATCCCAGGACCCCGGGATCATGACCTGAGCCGAAGGCAGATGCTTAACAACTGAGCCACTCAGGCGCCCCTAAATGCTGCATTCTTAAGCTTCTTCTAACGCATCTTCTTTAACCACCACAACAGCCCCATGGAGTAGGTTCTCTTATTATCTCTGTTTTACAAATGACAAAACTGAGACTAAGAGAAGTTGAGTAACTTTTCCAAGATCATCATGCTATTAAGTGATGAAGCTAGGAATTGAGCCCTATGGTCCAAGTTCTAAGCCTGGGACTTTTTTTTTTTTTTTTAAAGATTTTATTTATTTTTTTGACAGAGACACAGCGAGAGAGGGAACACAAGCAGGGGGAGTGGGAGAGGGAGAAGTAGGCCTCCCGCGGAGCAGGGAGCCCGAGGCGGGGCTCGATCCCAGGACCCTGAGATCATGACCTGAGCTGAAGGCAGATGCTTAACGACTGAGCCACCCAGGCGCCCCTGATTTCTGTTTATTTACTCTTAAAACTGCCTCAGTCTATTCTTTCCCTTCCCCTCTGATGTCCTTTGCACCATTACTTCCTTAGTAGGAAGCTTCGGTGGGTCGCGGCTGAGGGTTAAGGTGCTGTGTGAAGGAGCAGATCTGAAGGACAGGCTCCGATCTTCTCTTCCTTTTCTCTGTGACCTAAACTTCTCTCTGTCTGATGATCATGAGTGTTGCAGAATTGTCATTAGGATTGAGAGCTTAGTGTAATTTGAAATGCAGAGCATGTAGCATGTGCTGGTTATGGTCATGTGTGTACTGGGGGGGGGGCGGCGTCTCAAACTGCCGCACACTTTGCTCCCCAGCCTGACAGAGGGCAGAGTTTCTGGAGAGAATGTAACTCGTGTGTCATTTCTTCACTCTCAGTTTTATAAGAAGACCAAACAGTTGCCCGTCTTGGTGAAATGCTGTGAAGAGATCCAGCCCCATCAGTGGAAGCCACCTGTCGAGAGGGAAGAGCACCGGCTTCCATTCTGGTTAAAGGTACAGCTTTCCTCCTCGAAGTGTGTCGGAGGCAGAAGGACACCAAGCCCTGGCAGAGACGCCAGGGGTAACTTTACACTCCTGGTGGAGCTGTAGCTCAGGGACGGGCTCAGTGGATCTTCCTTCTTCCCCCCTCCTCTCCTGCTGCTTCCCCTTTCCCCCACGTGACTCTGCCACCTCTGAAAAATAGTGGGTAAAATGATACGGCGTTTCTAGAGCATGTAATTAGGGTGTAGTCTTTAGAAATTGGATATCCTTCAAGAAAATTCCTTGAAAAGATTTTTTGAGACTGTCCTGGAAAGGCCCCTAAAATCTCGGAAGCCCCGTTCTTTTCTCCAGGTTCTGACGTGTGCTGGATCAGTGTGTTCTTGTTCTCTAGGCCAGTCTGCCTTCCATCCAGGAGGAACTGTGGCGTATAGCGGACGGTGCCAGAGGGGTAGGAAGTGTGACTGGACCTGCTGAGGGCAGTTCAGAGCCAGGCCTGGGAAAAGGCAGCTCGGAATTGGGGAGTGAAACTCTGTACCCACTGCTGTTGCCCAAGGGTGTAGTCCTGAAACTGAAGCCAGTGGCCAACTGTTTTTCCAGGAAGGCCTGGAGACAGAAGCGGCCATCAGTCCTGAAGCCCCTGCTAATCAGACCGAGCCCCTCTCTCCAGCCCAGCTCCACCTCTGGGAAAACACCAGCTAGGTCAACTCTGTCCGAAGCCCCTCCGAGCAAAATGGTGGTCCGGATTCCTCACGTGATCCAGCCAGCCACTGTCGTACAGACGGTGCCCGGTGTCCCTCCACTGGGGGTCACGGCGGGGGAGAGTGTGGAGTCTCCGGCAGCGCTGCCTCCCACGCCCCCTGAGGCCAGGACCAGCTTCCCTCTGCCTGAGCCCCAGACCCTGCTCTCCTCTGCCCCTGTGCCCAAGGTAATGCTGCCCTCACTTGCCCCTTCTAAGTTTCGAAAGCCGTGTGCAAAGCCAAGAGCCTCCAAGAGAAAGGGGGCCAAGGCCTCTCTGTGTCTGGAGCCAGCCTCCCTCCTCCACCCGGTCCCGGTTATCTTCACCGTGCCCGCCACCACGGTGAAGGTCGTCAGCCTTGGCAGTGGCTGCAACGTGATCCAGCCCGTCAACGCAGCCGTGGCCCAGACTCCTCAGACCATCCCCATCACCACCCTCTTGGTTAACCCCACTTCCTTCCCCTGCCCATTGAACCAGCCCCTCGTGGCCTCCTCTCTCCCACCCCTGATTGTTTCCAGCAACTCTGTGAGTCTTCCTGTTCCCTCCACCCCTGAAGATAAGGCCCAAGTGAATGTGGACGTTGGTTGTCCTTTGGTTGAAGGGAAAAATGCCTTTCAAGGCCTAGAACCCAAATTAGAACCCCAGGAACTATCTCCTCTCTGTGCTCCTGTCTTCCCCAAAGAGGAGCACAGCCCAGGGCCCCCAGCAGCAGATCATGTGTGCCAGGAAGAGCAGCCAGAGCACAGTGCCTGTGGCTGGACTCTGGTGAAGGCCGAGGATGGGAGGCAGGCTCTGGAGCCACTGCCTCCAGGGGACTTGCAGGAAATGGTCAAGATGGAACCTCAGGACCCCGGGGAGGATGACTCCAGTGGGTCCCCAGGGCAGGACACCTGTGAGGACAGCAGAGAGGAACGTTCTGTGGGATTGGATGCTGGCTTCCCAGGTGAGGAGCCGAGTGGTCCTAGTGAGCTCAGGAGACAGCCAGCCTTCCAGCAGGAGGACGACAGAAGTGAGCCAGCTAGAACCTCGTCAGCTTCTCGGGAACCTCGGGATGAGGGAGACTCCGGAGATGTGAGCAGAGGATCTCCCAAGATGGCTTCTTCCTGCGCCGACCCTGAAGTGCGCAGCAGCCCCCCAGGCAAGTCTGAGGACCTGGCGAGCGCCGTCGGCCAGGCGCTGGGGACCCCAGCTGGGCCGGAAGCTGGGGGCGAGAAGGACGGGCCAGAGGAGGAGGAAGAGGAGGACTTTGACGACCTGACCCAAGATGAGGAGGATGAGATGTCCTCAGCCTCTGAGGAGTCTGTGCTCTCGGTCCCAGAGCTCCAGGTGAGAGCTGAGGAATATTCTCAGGTGTTCTGTGGCCTCAGTAATTTGCTTGATTTGTTGACAGGCCACCTGCTTGCTTGCTGCACTTAGTCCTCCTGTCATTTTTTTTTTTAAAGATTTTATTTATTTATTTGAGAGAGACAGCATGAGAAGGGGGAGGGGTCAGAGGGAGAAGCAGACTCCCTGCCGAGCTGGGAGCCCGATGTGGGACTCGACCCCGGGACTCCAGGATCATGACCTGAGCTGAAGGCGGTCGCTCAACCAACCGATCCACCCAGGCGCCCTCCTCCTGTCATTTTTATTTGACTTTTGAATACCGTGTGGGACAGTTTTGGGGGCGGGGGGTTGAGGTGAGAGGGGAGGAAGAGGTGAACTTTTAGTTGGGTGTTGTGTGTGACTCAGTCACTGAAATGTTAGATTGAATCACCTGTGTGCAATTTAAATGCCTAAACATGTAGATCATTAAGTGTGGATCCCAGCAAAGGAAAACTGTCTTCCCGGTAGAAAGCGACCTTTCCAAACGCCTCTTCCCCCACCTGCTGCTGGGCTGGCAGCCCAGCTCTCCCTGCACTGGTGGCCTGTGGGGAGCCGGCGCCAGCCCTGCGGACGCTCTCGGGGGCTTTGCAGGAAACAATGGAGAAACTGACCTGGCTGGCCTCTGAGAGGCGTGCGGGCCAGGAGGGCGAGTCCGAGGAGGAGAACTCCCAGGAAGAGAACTCTGAGCCTGAAGAAGAGGAGGAAGAAGAGGCAGAAGGAATGGAGAGCCTGCAGAAGGAGGACGAAATGACAGACGAAGCTACTGGAGACCCTGCTGAGAAGCCGCCGGCCACCTCCGCGTCGCCCAGGACTGCTCCGGAAGCGGAGGCTGGCAGCGCCCCGCCGGGTGAGTGGTGAGCCTGGTGTGCAGGGCGGGTCTCAGCCGGCCTCCTCTCTAAGTGCTGTGCCGAACGGCTGGTCCGAAAACCAGGTGTGAGATCGAAGCGGACGTCCTCTGGGCCGCCCCCCCGCACGCTGCCCTCCCCCAGACATGCTTGCCTGGAGCCTTTGCGGAGAAGCGTGCTCAGACATTTCAGATGTGACTCCTACCGGCCGCTAGGTTTGTGTTAGGTTCACACAAGCTTTTAACGCTGGTTCTCAATCCGTCTGTCACGCGTGCAGCTAAGAGCTACGTTTGTTTGCGGTTCCTCCCCAAGACCAGTGCGTGAGAGCCCACCGTGAGCCCGTGCCCCCGCTCAGGACTCCTGCTGGCTGCGTTCCGCAGCTGAGGGCCCTCCCTCATCCCCGGGGTGGCACTGTGCCATCGCTGCGGGGGCTGCCCTGCCACGCCATCGTGCCTTCCTGCCACGTTCCCGCCAGCTTCTCCCGAGGCCGTCCCGGACAGCCAGCGGGATTTGGGTGGGCTGGGTGCGTGTGGCCAAAGGGAGGAGTGGGGTTGTGGGGCCCGACAACCATCTTTCTCGCGTGTTTTCCCAGGAGAGAGTGGCCGAGCTGCTGGGAAGGGCCGGGGCAGTCAGCGAGCTCGCAGCAAGCGGGGAAGCCGGGCCCGGGCCAGCAAGGACATGTCCAAGCTGCTGCTGCTGTATGACGAGGACATTCTCGAGCGGGACCCCCTCAGGGAGCAGAAGGATTTGGCCTTTGCTCAGGCTTACCTGACCAGGGTAGGCAGGGACTGCTTCCCGCTACTGCCCGTCCCCCCACATGCGGCCACTTCTCCTTCCAGGGACCGGTGTTGAAAACAGTCTGATTTTCAGGCCACACGGCCGCCTCGTGTGCCTCTGCCTTTGCTCTCTCCTGGAATTGCCCTCAGATCTGAGAGAGACAGGACCCAGGCTTCCTCGTCCACGGCTTGTTGTGAATCCCTGAGCATCACCCCTCTGTTGTTCAGAAAGCGGGGAAAGGTGGCGCCACCATCATCAGTGAGAGGGGTGACTTCGCTGGGTTGGCTAAAGCGGGCCTTTCCCGAGCCCTCGGCAAGAGAAGAAAGACCGTTGGTGCACTGGCCAGAGAGTGGACTCCGGGAAGTGCCCTGGTCTTCGGAGAGCTGACCCCACTGTGCCTGGCAGCTGCCCTTGGCATGCAGCCGTCTGGTTCCTTTATCCCCCCGGCGGTTCAGCCTGCCAGCAGTGACGGCCACGCCTTCTGGTCTGCTGACAGTTGACGGCGTTCCTGACGTACGCGCTGTCGGCCCGCGGTACCACGCGGAACTGCGTGTGCAGAGCACTCCTTGTCTGTCTCAGTGCGGGGCTGAGATCAGGAGGGAGAGGCTAGGGCCGTGGGCTGGAGACACGCTCGCTTGGTTTGGTAGGGAGGGCTCTGGCCCCTGGAGAACGAAGGCGTGTCAGAGGCCGGCCAGCAGGGGAGGGGCGGTGGTGCCTGACCCACTGCTCCGTGTCTTCCGTGAGCAGATCTCAGGAGCTGTGGGAGGGGTAGCCTCCGCAGGGTGGTTCTGGGGCTCGGTGTGGGGACTCCTCCTCCTCGATCCGTACGGCTCTTTCCTGTCCTGACGGCGGAACGTCTTCCCGCGTAGGTACGAGAGGCGCTGCAGCACATCCCTGGCAAGTATGAGGACTTCCTGCAGGTCATCTATGAGTTCGAGTCCAGCACTCAGAGGCAGACAGCTGTGGATCTCTACAGAAGCCTGCAGGTTCTGCTCCAGGACTGGCCTCAGCTGCTGAAGGATTTCGCTGCCTTTCTGCTGCCCGAGCAGGCTCTGGCCTGCGGATTAGTGAGTGGACGCGTGAACGCCACACCTGGGGCGCTGCTGGGTCCGGGGACAGGGGACCTGAGTAGAACTGGTTAACACCATCCTCGTCTCTCGGCGACTCCCGGTCAGACAGGCCCTGCCTTGGCCCCGGGTGATCAGCGCCCCCTTGTTTCAAGGGGTGGTCTTCCCAACCCCTCTTCTCCCATTTTCTTTGTAAGTGCAATGAGGGGTTGTACCCTCAGTCGCCAGTGAAGACCGTGGGTGAATCACGCACCCTTTGCTCCTCCCTGTTGTAAAACAGGTGTCCGTTCCAGCAGATACTTACTATGTGTGTCTAGTGTATAGTCAGGCAGGGTTCCCGGTCCTAGGAATATAGTAATTACAAAAGAACGATGTCCTTGTTCTCATGGAGCGTCCATTCTCTTGGGGAAAGTCAGGTGATAAACAGTAAAATATATATAGTGAATGTACATAAGGATCACACAGTACACATGAACAGTAAAACATATATAACGGGGGCTAGAGAGCTGCAGGGGGCATGGGCGGGGGCGGGGCCTTGCAATTCTATTTTGCACACGGTGCTCGGGGATGGCCACTGCAGAAGGTGACATTCAAAACATTGGCCAGTAAGGGTCTACACGCGAGGGATGTCTCACGAGCTCGGGAGGGGGAGACACGGGAATGAAGGGTGGAGTGCGCTCTTCTGGTCGGCTTGAGGCAGTCCCGTGGTCCCGGGGGGGGCGTCGCACACCTGCACGTGCTCTCTCCCCGTGTGGGGAGCAGCATGGGTGCGAGCGCTCTGTAGACGGTGACGAGCTGCGGCGTCTGATGTCACAGCCCGTGAGACAGCCAGCAGCTTGACATTCGCACATCTCCGGACGCTTGCCGTCCCGTCCTAGGAGTCTTGGGTTGGTCGCCTTTGCAGCCCAAGGTGCATAGATGCCAGGGTCTGAGGTACCGTCTGGCGGCTGTAAACGGGCTCCCCGTCGCCCCCGCTTCCCAGCCCAACGCTCTTGTTCCGTGGGCGTAGCGCCCTCCGGTCCGCGCTCGCTGTGCACGTGACACTCTTACTTTCTTTCCACTGGGGTAGTTTGAGGAACAGCAGGCGTTTGAGAAGAGCCGCAAGTTTCTTCGGCAGCTGGAGATTTGCTTTGCAGAGAACCCCTCGCACCACCAGAAGATCATCAAGGTCCTCCAGAGCTGTGCGGACTGCCTGCCCCAGGAGATCACGGAGGTGCTCTTTCCTGTCCTGCTGGCATCTGTGCCCGTTCTCTTGCTTCTGGGGTACCTTGGACTTCCGGAGGGGATGAAGAAGGCGAGGACTTTTTTCGGCTTTCTTGAAGCATAAACCCCTGGAACAGGGGGTGCTTGTCCCCTGAAACCAGAGCCTGACTGAACTCAAAGGCTCAGGGTTGCCATTAGTGCCTGGAAGGGAAGTTCAGGGAAGGAGGTGATGGGGCCTGGGGGGGACTTGTCTCCTCGCTGTGCTCGGGTTGCTGCCGGGGCTGGAAATCAGGAGGCCAGGGTGCAGAGTGTGGTCATCAGGGATCAAACATATTATTAATTCCCCTCCAGTGTAGGCACGCGAGCAGGGAGGGGACGCTGAAGAAGTCTTAGCGGTCCAGGAGAGGCTTCCGGCTGTCCCTCAGGAGACTAGGAGGGTAGACCTTGGGGGCGAATGGGACTGGTTTGGGACGGCAGCCTGGAGAGGCCCTGGACACTTCATCCTTCCCCCGACCACTCTCCCCAGCTCAAGACGCAGATGTGGCAGCTTCTGAAGGGCCATGACCACCTGCAGGACGAGTTCTCAGTCTTCTTTGATCACCTGCGCCCAGCAGCCAGCCGGATGGGGGACTTTGAAGAGATCAACTGGACCGAGGAGAAGGAGTACGAGGTACCGGCCCCGAGGCTGCAGTGGGCTTGGGAAGGGGGACGGCCACGCGTCGGAGGGGTGCCTGCCCAGGGTCTGCGCTGAGGGGCCCCTGCTCCTCCCCAGTTTGACGGCTTTGAAGAAGTGGCACTGCCCGATGTGGAGGAGGAAGAGGAGCCTCCCAAGATACCCACGGCCTCCAAGAGCAAAAGAAGAAAAGAGATTGGGGTCCAAAATCATGACAAGGTACCCCAGGTTGTAGGGCGTCACCCGCTTGCCATAAACCAGGCCTTGAGTTTTCTGCGTTTCTCTGGCTGGTGCGGTGCGTGGCCTCTGGGGCCCCAGGCAGTCGGGTCAGGCTGCAGAGCCCACCGGGGGGCAGGGGGAGCTGCCGAGGAGGCTCCCACACAGCTGCCCCATTACAACGATGTTTCCCCCTCGGCTCTCTGGCTTGGAGTGGTTTCTCTTGCCCTTGGGTCTTGATTCCTTCCTTTCTGTTAGCGTGAAGAGGTAGAACCGAGCATCCCCACTTAGCAATATCGGTAACAGCTGATAGTCAGCTGTGTGACAATAGGTGTGTACCTCTCGGAGGTGTTGTACCCGGATCATTCCCTCACTTCCCTCCACGGCAGGGCCACGAACAGATGGCTCTTGTTTGCATTTGACCGAAGAGGAGAGGGACGTGCAGTGCGAGGCCGGGGCCGGGGCCTCGTGTCTCCTACGTGGCAGTGCTGGGGTGCGGACCCCGGCGGTCTGGAGTCTGCTCAGACCCACGGCCCTCCGCTGCTCGCCCAGGAGGAGTCCGTTTTCCTCTTTTCTTCTTCCTTCGGCAAAACTGCTTCTTAGCAGCGGGATGACCTAGGGCAACTTACTGAATCTGTGTCAGCCTCGTCGTCGTCCGTGGGGGTAGTAACGGTCCTGGCACCTGGGGTCCCTGAACAGAGAGTGTCCCTGAGAGGGCCTCCCCGTGCACAAAGCAAGCCCCGCGCCCCAAAGGGGTCGGCGGAGGGGGCAGAGCCCCGGGTACAGGGACGCGGGAGCCAAGGTGGTCGGTCATCCCAGGACTTTGCCTCCAGTTGTATCTGACTTCAGTATTGAAACGTCCGGGCAGCTGGGCTAGGTCAGTCCTCCGGGTCGCGGCAGGATCGTGGCAGGGAACGCCGGCGGGCCGTGGTTGAGTCTCCCCAGGCCACGGGAAGAGCTGCAGTGCCGCCAAGCATGCTGGGTGCTGGTCGGGGCGGCTTGCTCGGGTGGCCTGCAGCCCGTGTGCTCTCTGGGCACCGCGCATGCTAGCCGGCCGCTAACCAAGCCCAGTGTCTCCTAGGAGGCGGAGTGGCCAGACGGAGCCAAGGACTGTGCCTGCTGCTGCCATGAAGGAGGCCCTGACTCCAGGCTGAAGAAGAGCAAGAGAAGAAGCTGCGGCCGCTGTGGCAGCAGGGTGAGCGGGGGC